CCAATTTTTCCACTATTCGTGCTCTACTTACCATAGCTCTTCACAAGCATTGGCCCATTCACAAGCTAGATGTGGCCAATTCCTTCCTACATGGCAATCTCATTGAAACCATCTACATGGATCAACCACATGGCTTTAAAGACGCCATCTACCCCAACACGCCTGTCTGCTTCACAAAGACATATATGGCCTCAAACAAGCCCTCCCCCCAATGGTTCAACACATTCTCTACCTTTCTCAAATCACTCGGCTTTACTCACAACACAACACACTCATCTCTTCTCGCTCTTTCCAAAGATCATATTCACATCTACCTACTAATATGCGTGGACGACATTCTCCTAACATGCAATGATATGGATATGCTATCTAAGATTATAGCACAACTAAATCACCAATTATCCATGAAGCATCTTGGGACAACAAACAACTTTCTGGGCATTCAAATTCAACACCATCAAAACTCATATTTCCTATCTCAACATCTATACGCCATCTCCATCCTAACCAACGTCGGTCTCCTCCTCTGCAAACCACTTTCCAATCCCATATGTACCAAACTACCTAAAGTCATCCCTACCAATCCCATCCTCTCCGATCCTCAAATATATCGCCAGCTCACAGGTTCTCTACATTACTTAACTATAACTCGACCGAACATTGCATAAATCATTAACCTTCTTTGTTAGCATATGCATGATCCCTTGCCTTAGCACATCTACATTCTCAAGAGATTGCTCAAATACATCAAAGGCACCCTTAACTACGGTCTTCCTATTACCAAAGGACAGTTAATCCTCACCTCCTTCTCACATGCAGACTGGGCCAGCGACACAACTACTCGACGTTCTACATCGAGCTACTGCACCTTCCTAGGCAATACACTGCTCTCATGGAGTGTCAAGAAACATCATGCAGTTGCTCGGTCCTCCACAAAAGCCGAATACAAAGCACTAGCTACAGCTATCATCGACATCATTTGGCTTCGCAAGCTACTGCAAGATTTTCATATACCTCTTCAACAACCAATAGATCTTCACTGTGACAATACTTCAGCCATCGCACTAGCTAACAATTCTGTCTTCCACATTAGGACAAAGCACATAGAAATCGATCACTATTTCATTCGTGATCACATTCACTCCAGCACAGTTCGAATAGTTCTGATCGGCACCAAGGATCAAACACCTGACATTCTTACCAAATCTTTCTCTACCCCATATTTCAGCTACTTAGACACAATCTAACCGTCCAACCGGGACCGTCACATTGCGGGGGCGTAAAAGCCAATACCAACATCTGACAAAGTACATTCACTACTACCAACAGAATAAATCTCAACCATTAATCTCTAACAAACATAATACATCCTATACATAGACGTGTAAAGCTATATGCTCACTTCATTTAGATATACATCATGTACTCCTGATGGAAATAGTCACATACCGTATTACCTTACAATAAAAGCCCTCAGACACTTACTTTTTAATTATATGCAAGTTATATCTATCTATATATATACTCAGGGCAACTTTATTGCAAAGATAAAAATGTTCACCAGGCCCTAAAGTTATATGAAGTATGTTAAACTTTGGTGTGAAGCTTAACTTATTTCTTCTGCAGCAGACTAATTTACTTTACTTTTGTATCTAACCAAACAGCTCAGAAACAAAAACCCCTGCATTTAGTTTAATTTACAACCAAACAGCCCCTAAATCAAATTTGTGTTTGATTATTTTGAAAATGAAATCCTTCTAATTACCTCAAATTAAACGCCAAAATACTCAAAATCCATACAATTCTTTTATTCTAAGCAGCCAACATATCAAGAACAAAGCCCATTACCACTGCAACAATTCATCAGATTTTTACAAATATAAGGGATATATAGGAAAACCAGCATAATAAATATTATAATAAATTATTATCCAGGGGAAGAAAAAAAAAAACAGCTAAAAAAAGATTTTGATTTCAATATTATGGCAAATATCAAACATGGTCATTTTCCTCAAAGCATGGATCATTATCAACATTTAATGTCATTGAGATCAACAATTCCCAATTTTCCTTTCTAGCTTTATAGCTTCATAAGATACCATCACTTCTTTAAATTTAGCCTCTGCAGCCTCTAAAACATAAATTAATTTCTTTCAATAGCTTGGTTGCACCAAATTTCAGTTTATTTTGTAACAAGCAATAAATAAATACAAGTCAATTACCTTTATTATCTGGATTCTGATCTGGGTGATACTTCATTGCTTTTGCCCTGAAAGCTGTCTATAATAATCCAAAATGGGAGAAACCATTGTCAGATGTTCGTTACCACAGATGAAGAAAAAATATATGCTCAGGCACTCAGCAGTAGAAACAGAGAGAGGTTGGAGATAGCTCTAGAACCCCTTAAAAATTTTTATAATATTCATTTCTATATTTCTACTAAACTATTATGTGCAAGCAAATAGATATTTCTTCATATTGAGTATATAATGATGATATTAACAAGTCTAATAAATTTTTTTAGGCTCACACATTTAATAAATTCAAGATATTTTTAATTAACTCAATTCATAAAATTATTTGAAAAAATATAATGATTACGCAAGTACATAAATGTCAACTTTTATATATCATATGTATCTTTAATGCATACTAAACAGACTAATTGATAATAGGTGAATATAAATGTTAAGTAATTTAAATGTCGATAATGATGATATTAAATTGAAAGAAGTCAATGAAAGTTTGTCATATAAGACAGGATGACAGATTGTCATAGGGAGAGAGAAATTTTTTTTGACAAGATGAGTCTCAATAGGGAAAAAGAAAATTACCCATTTTCAATAATAAGAAGTTGATACTATAAGGAGCAATCTTAAGCATGAGAGGTCATTTTTAATTGCCATATGGATTATCTAAACTTTCTCAATGATTTTTAAGGTTGATAGGAAAAATGACGACCAATGATAAATGTGTCAAAAACCTACATGTATTATATGACATTTTAAAG